TTACAGTAGGGTTTCCTTTATTGTAAAGTCCTTTTACTTTTCAAGTCACCTCAAAAGCCACCTCTGAGAGCAAGGAAGCGGCTCCCCATGCGTCAGATGGCATTTGGAGAGCAGTAGTTCTTAGATGGCGACATACCATCCTATTTTAATATTTATTTACTTTGAAATCATCACTTTCAGCAAGAGCAGCAGAAATTATCATTCACATTCTTTTATCTAGAGGGAAAAAATCTGGGTTTAGTCGATATCGGTTCCCTTCTTGCACGGGAACCTCCTGTGTCCTTCACCCCCTCTGCTCCCTCCAACACGTCATCCTCGAATCATCAGTTCTCCGAAACAGTCAGCGGCAGAAGAGCAACTAAGCGAAACGGGACGCCGGAGTTTCACGTTTGAGGCCAGCAAAAGCCTCCTTACACCGTTCCAGCGAGAGCAAAGGAGCCAGGCTAAAGCCACGCGACGTTTTCCAACGCACGTAAAAGCCGATTAAATGTTTTGGGTTTTCTGGCTAAAGACTGACCTCTAACATCAGACACGAATAAACATCCGCCTCGGTAGAAGCCAGGCGTTTCAGCCTTCGGGGATACAGAGAAATGAAAACTGGCCTAAGCGGTCTCGCACCTGGGGCGGGCCGGCCGGCGCACCGCCGCGCGGGGAACGGGGCGCCGCGGCGCGGGCCGAGCACGGAGCCCGCGAAGCCTCGCGCCTCGGAACAGCCTCTGCTCGCTTTTTCTTCCACGCTTGGCATCGATTTCATGAGCATTTTGCTTAAGTAACCCAGCTACTCTCAACGGTGCTTAGCGTAAGAGAACTGCCTTTATGCGAACCGAATTGCAGGTTCACCGAAAGGAGCTGCTCTATCTGTAAGGAACAGGAGGGGAGGGGGGAGCAACGGATGCACTTATATGCACCAGGAAGTCATTCAAATGTTGTTTGCATGAGTCTTACATGCAAATTGCACAATATTGCAGGAAAGCTCCCTTGCCTGACACAGTCTATGCTGCCGCCACCAGCATCGCTGCGCGGCCCCGCGCGCTCCGCTGCCGGCCGGAGAACCGGCACTGACACCTGCTGGAGGCTGCAACGCGACCGACGGGGACACTGTCTGCAAACCCAGGGCAGCAAGCGCGAGGGGTGGAGGGGGAGAAAAAGAAATCGGTAAAATTTACCCTCACAACCTTCAATCACTTCCTCGTGTATACAAATACCATACGTCATATATATTAAATAAAACACAGCCCAAGCACACACAACAAAGAAATCATCTGCCATTTTCTCATTTTGTAATTTTTATATAGATATTTACCCTACACCTTTATCAAACATATATGATGTATTCTACTAACTAAAAAAAAAAAAAAATCAAGTAAAATTCCAACTTCATATAAAAGTCCCCTATGCACACGGCTGCAGAGATGTCGTTAGGAAAGCACACAAGGAGGAGGAGGAATCTAGGCATCATTTCCATTTCCCTGCATGCAGGTTCTCTCTCTCATCTTACAGAGTCTGCGAGTTTTAAACAATCAGAAAGATGTAATTAAAAAGTGATTATATATATACACATATATAAAGTCAACAGTGTTCCCAGGTAAAAACAGACAACAGATTTCACCACCCCACCAAATGGTTAAGCTCAACGGTAAAGAGACAAGAAAGAGAAAACTGCTGCGAGCGGTACACCGCGAGACTGACACACATTTCAAATACGTGTTCATATAAGAAACATGCGTCCGAGAACAAGCTGGGTTGCGCCGTTACCCACCTCCTCGCATCCATTTGTTTATACCCAAAAGCTGGTTAATAATTCGCTCGTCTTTTGAGGCAGAAAACTGAGCTGGAGCTAGGGAGTGCGCACGCGCTACAGACTGTTTTCTGAAACCAAACAGAAAAGTTCAAGGTTCCTGGGGGTGAAAACTGTACACCGTCAGCCATGAAGAGCAGAGATTTCTTTTTTGGTTTTTTTTGCCCTTTTTTTGCCTTTTTTTTTTTTTTTTTTGGACAGACAGAAGCGGTCAGAAGCGATGAAGAATCGAACATCAGCGGCCTGCCCTCCCCCTCTCCTATCAGTCCTGTATCAGCAAGCTGGAAAAAGCTAAGCAACGTGGACATGCCCACGGCGTCGCAGGAAGAGACAAACTGTGCAGATGTCAGTGAAGGAAGTGACTGGTTAATCCAAACAGAAAGGCACAGGAAGGGTTAATATTTCTATCACCATAGAAAATGCTTGGACCCTTTATTCTTCCTTAATAGTAGCAGAGTTCCTTCCCCCACCTTCGTTTTTTTTTTTTTTCCTTTTTTAATCTATCATGGGTTCAAAGGACTCATGAGGCAAAGCAATTTGGTTATCAGCTAAAATAACATCCCAACATCGCGCATTTCATCTTTTTTTTTCCTCCTTTTTTCTTTTTTTAAACTACTACTGGAAGTTTTATTTCAACAGCAACACTCCGGAAATTTCGTTAAAACTTTTTTTTTTTCCCCTAGTCCTTACGCCAAGTGGGTGGCTTAGAAGATAAACAACCAAAAAGTACAGAACATTTAATTTAGAAAAACGTTAGGGGGCTCTTTTGGGGGGGGGGGGGGAAGGCAAGAACAAAAAAACCCAACCAAAAAACCCCAAGTGAAAGCGCTACTCCACTGCTCTCTAGAACGTCCAAATACCTTCACTGAACGAGATGTGTGTCTGCTTCAGTACCTGGGAGGGAAGAACGGGCGTTTTGGTGCAAAGAATGGAGAGCCCCTTCCGAAAGGTGGCCGAGGCCTTTTTAAGTTGTGAAACGGGTCTCTGTTTATAAAAGGTTCCCTAGGCCTAAAGTCTGGTCGTGGGTTCCTAATTATCATGCCGCTTCGGTTGACATTGTCTCTGTGAGCAGGGCCAATGGGAGTCACGCTACGGGACGGCCCGAGCTGATCCCTCGGGAGGGAGGTGAGGCCTACGCTTTCGCGAACGCGACCAAGAGGCGGACCGCTGTGGTCCCGCTGCGCCTGGGCCACGTGGTCCCTTGGTCCCGAATGCACGTTAAAATGCTCTTTTATCGTCCCTTGATGAAGAGTACCGTGCTCCTTGGAAAAGGTGCCGCCGCCGCCGTGTTCCACCGGGACCCCGCTGTGTTCCACGGCAGGAGGAGGGGGCACGCCGTGCGGCAGCGAGAGTGGAGAGGATGTTTCTTTTGAGAAAGGGTTAGTGTGATCCACGGATGGCATATGTGGAGGAACTGAGTGATCCCTAGGGAAAAGGCTTCCGTGATCCTTGGGCGGAGCGGATGGGGGCCCGGAGGGCGCACCGACTTGATCCCTCTGAAAAGGAGTCCCGTGCTCTATGGGAGGAGGTGCGATAGGAGGTGGTATGTGATGTTCGAAAGCAGGGCTGAAATTATTGGTTCTGAAATTGTTTACGCTCTCCTGAAATGGCGGCACGTGCTCCTTGTACTGCGCTTGGAAGCTGGCAATCCCACTGCCGCTGCCCATGCTGGGCAGCTCAGAGGCACTCGAGGGCCCGTTATCAAAAGCGCTACCTGTATTGCTTATCTCAAACCACCCTGCTCTGCTCGCCTCTCGCCCGTGTCCTCTATTTCCTTTCCCAAGAACTCTTATGGACTCTACGGTCTGAATCGGCTCTCCTGACATTCCCCGGCTAGACGCGTTATGATAACCCAGTGTTTCTATGGGGGCTCCTTTTTCTTCAGTGCTGTCAGGCAAGTCTAAGCAGGACGATGACACCCTAGTCTCTATACGGTAATGCTCCTCTTGCTGCTGCTGTTCTCCTTTGGAGATTCCAGTTTGACTATGGCTAGACAAGCTAACCCCTTCGTTTGAGCTGCTTTTAGAAATCTGGCTAAAATGCTTTTCCTCAGAGGGCTTACGAGATGCGTTCTTGAGCATGTTCTTGAACTCAATTGTTGACGTGGCAGAAATGGAAGAACCTAACGACTTCTCCACACTTGACGTAGGAGCTCTGCTCGCAGGGTTGGAGAGAGTGTTTTGAGAAGAGAAAAGCGACCTGTGGGAGATTGAATGGGGCGAGTCCGGATATTGCTTCTGTGACAAGCCAGAGTGCACCACAGATTTGGATAAATTATTATGATTGGAGTCTGGTGTGAAAAAAACATCATTCTTACTAGGTGAAGGGGAGCCATCCGAAGTGGAGTCATTTCCCCTGAGGCCATAACTTCCATACATCCCTGGAGATGACGACAGCGGGTCGCAGCTCTCACTCTGATCAAGAATAGACCTCATAGACTGAGGAAAAGATGGTTTCACGCTAAACTCCTGTGATCTTTGACTGTAACTAGACAGAACCGGCTGGTACTCTGTAGCTTCGGACAGTTTACTCGACTTCAGAATAGACTTTGCAGGCTTCTTCTCTAGGTTTAACATGGCAGACGGCGGTGGCCCAGAGTAATCAAAGTCACGGTAATCTTCATCCTCCTGAAAAGACGTGTCTGGATAAAACTTCTCCTGAGAGGAGTCCATTAAAGATGAGGGTATTTCCATGCTATCTGCAGATGGCTTATACATGCTGGCCGGAGAATCTCTGCCTAGGCTGAAAGGCCGGTAGGTGTGTACAGAATTGGAAAGTTCTTGTGAATAGCCATCGTCTCTACTCTGAAGAGGTGATCTTGTGCTACTGGGAGTAGAAGAACCAGGGCTCATGATTTTGGACAGCAAAGAGATAGTGTCAACATTACTCGACGTTGGCTTATCCATCATCTCATCTTGGGTGGGCGTCCCACTTCGCTCATCGCGAACTGGCGTTCCATCCACATTGTCCATAGAAGTGCTAGTAGGACCACGCTGGAAGTCAGACGAATGACTTTCCGTTGCAATGTTGGACCCTAAGCTGCTTAAAATTGGAATATTCAAGTTTAGACCACTGAAGCCAGGATTTCCCTTCAAGAAATTGTGTATCTTCATTTCCAGGCTTGGAGAGGGGGGTTCCGATTCCAGCTTTGCCTTTGAAATTTCAGAGGATTGACTCATTGACGTCTCTGTTGGTAGAAGGGAAGAAGGGCTGGTAGGATGGGAACTGGAAAATCCCAAGGAATTGGTTGGTGGTTTAAAACTAGAACTTGAAAGCCCTGGGGTATGTCCAATAGGAGCCTTATTAACTGAAGTTGAAGAAACCTCAGCAGTAGACGAGTTTGGAGAATAACCAAAATTTTTAGATATAAAGGGCTGAGTATTGGAAGGAACATTCCTCCCCTTCACGCACGGGACAGTTGTGTTGGCTGGTGATGCTGAAGTGCTCTGTGATGCAGTTTCACTCGACTGAACTGTATTTCCAGCAACGCTCTGAAGCAAGGATGACAAACCTGGGGAAAAAAAAAATGCTGCATTCAGACATTCAGATAAGAGGCAAGACAATTAGAACCATCGTCAAGAGAAAGATCTTTGTATTAGTATTACAGTTGCCGCTCCTGAAGACTATTCGATGCTTTAGCCAGTAAAATGACTGGATTTTGCCATGTTCACATGAACATTAGTTTGCACCTACAAAGGCGCAAACTTTTGCCAGAGCCTCAGATTAACCTACAAATATAAATCACAATACATGCCTGCGTTAATTAGGTAATACTCATCCTGGCTTTGTAGTCAGGTATAAAAGGCATTCACGTTGCACTATTAACCAGGGTCGTGCATGCATGTTCACAGGAACAGCACCTTTGAAAAGTCTTCTGCTCCTGCCTCTAGAAAAAACTTTCTCAGAAGCAAAAAGATACCACAAAGACCTCACTTGGTCTCCTGTCACGTTCAGTATTCTTCCATGAAATGTCAGACTTCAACGTATACACTAAGCAGTAAAGCAACTTGCTATACTGATACTATTTGCTTATCAAGTGATAAAATTTGAGTCAAAGTAAAGCAAGCACAAGATATTCCAAGATGGTGTCCTAGTGATCCAGTGGTATTGGATAAATGACCTTAGGTTTGTTTCAAAAACATCAAGATGTCATGGGAAAGTGATAAAAACTGGCTAGCCAATACCCTAAAAACGTAGCATATGAGTTTTTCTCCCTTCACGTCTGCCTTAGGACTGCCCAATAGAACGTTTCAATACTGACACTGCCATCACATACACAGCTAGCCACTTGCTCAAAATTCACTCTAGTTACCTTGCAATGCTGGTGCAGTCTGCGTCTGGGTTTTGGAGAGAGCAGACAAAATACTTTCAGGAGTTATTTCAACCTTGGAGAGAATATTTGCCAAAGGATTTGAAGGAGCAGACGGAGTCCCCATGACAGGAGCCTTCAAGCCACCAGTAAGAGTTGTTGGGCTTGTTGGGGTTCCCGGAGATGGTCTTGATGCAGGACTGACACCTGGGATGGAAGCGTACACTGTTCACACAGGTTGCTTTGTTCATGTAAGCTTTTATGCCTTAAGTTTTCAATAGATAAAACTGCAGCAGAGTTCCAGTAAGGTGTGAACAAGGAGAGGCTCACAAAGCAAGACAGTCTAGCGCATCAGAAAGACTGAGCCAGACCTTTAATAAATCATTCGTGTTTAGTTTGAGACAATTTAGCTTTAGAAGATTAAAAAACTAACAAAAAAACATTATTAGTTCTTCAAAACCAAACACCCGTGCAAGTAACTTTTCAGCACTCACCTGTATTTTTCATAACAGAAGTTAAACTGCTAAGAATGGAGCTGATCTTTGCCAGGTCAACGTTGGCGAGGTTCGGCAAAGCAAGCGCTGGCGATGGAGGAACAGGCGTCGTGTTCACTGCCTTAGGAGCAGGAGGAGTGACAGGAGTCTGGGCAGGTGTTGTCACAGTCACAGAAGTTGTACCTATTACAGCAGTAGACGGCACCACTTTGGGGACACTTTCAGTCTTCACAGGTGCTGAGGCTGGAGCAGCCTGTTTCTCCTTCCTCTCTTCCACTACATCAGAGAGGGAGAGAACAAATCCAGAACTGTCAATCTCTCTCTACAGGATTATTTAGGATTAAGAGGTACAGGATTTTTCACAAAATCCTCATTAAACCCTGTTTAGGGAAGCAAAGACTGATTCCCATTAGGCTACGTAGAAAGCATTTTTAGGAGCCTTCTGGGAGACGGGAATAATCATAACCAGATCATGACTTCCCTGCTTGGGTTGGAGGACTGGTGTAGGAGAATGAAACCTGCGTGTAACATCCACAGCCCAAACAAGGCTTTTGCACATGCTCTACATCCCAACCGAAGCTTGTAAAGGTCGTTTTGTTTGGATACAGTATCTGCACTACAATTACCCTGTTTCCCTGCTGCTACCACAGAACATACCAATAATTTTGGATGTATCATCTTCCACATCCGAGAGTTCCATGTCCTCCACATCCCGATTATCTGTCACAGGCTCTGGAGATATCGTCTTGCGGCTTCCAACAACTGGAGACCGTGAGCTATCCTCCTCGCCCATTCCCTGAAAAGGGGACTCGGAGCCTGTTGGAGATGGGGCATCCATACTTGGAGAAGGGACAGGAGACTCTTCTGGATCAGGAAGTGTTGCTTTCAATTGATCCAGCTTTTTCTTTAGATTGCTCACTCTATTAGCAAATGTTTTATAAGCCTAACAAAGAAAGGACATTTAACTGAGTATCTTTTATAGGAAGATAACATGCCTCAATTATTTCCATAATAACAGTAGCAAACATCTCTGGAAAACCACTTCAGTTCCCAATTATCTCTAGCCTGCAGTAAGAACTGTGCAGCAAGAACTTAGCTTTTCAGTATGACTTGCAAAACAGGGACCACAAAGAGGAAAAAAAAAAAAAAAAAAGGCAAAGATGATAGTGACTTAACAGTGACTTAACACAATTTTCACGGAAGAACCTTGACCAACAAATAGGCTACTCGTTTGGTTTTTGTTCCTGGTTCGTTTTGCTTTTTGCTTTTTTTAATAATGCTTTACAGATTGTTTCTTAGTTTGTTAATCTAGATTGCATATTGATATCATCATAACTGGTGTGGTTTCCAATTTAGGATTTGCTAGATTGTAATTTTTCTCCCCTTTAAAAATGCAGAGACTATATAATTCTTTGAAAACAAAAGGTTAAGAATCAAGTTTCTGACCCAATAATTTTTAGAGTGTCTTGTTTTCTTGCCCGACATCTCAATCCTGTTCTCTTTTTAAACTATTTGAACAATGATCACGCAAAATTTCTTCTACATTTCTGAATACACAGATGGTATATTTTCTTGACTCCAATATGCTTAACAAAACAGAACACAACCAATCGCCAATCTATGTGAGAGTGGACATTTCAGAATATCTAAGCTTATAAGACAAATCAAAGCCCCCAAACTTAACAGACTTTCACAATCCATGAGCGTATCATTGCTCCATAGCAGTAATGCTGTACTCATCAGATGCTTGTTAAGGAAAAGCAGGCTTACATTTGCTACCACCTTGACTTCCTTATACTGCGCTTCATAAAATATACCAGCATTCTCCAGAGCTTCGGTTAGCGAGGGACCATTTTTCACTTGCTTGTCTAAACCATTTACAAATTCTTCCAGCTTTGAGCTTGCTTCTTCAAACTCCTTGGAGAACTTCTTTCCTCCTGTTTTGTCTAAAAGGAGATTAACATTATGCAAATGAGCTACCACCAAACAGAAAAATCAGGTCTCAAAAGTGTGTCCTAAGCAACAGCAACTGGAAAATTGAGACAACAGACACCATACACCGCACTGTACGCTCCCCAGACTAGTTCATTCATCAATTAGTAGCAACAACCCTCTGCCCTGTGCATGCAAAGCATAGCTGTGAGCAGCATTCACACACCACTTCGAACAGGCTGCATACTACATGGTGTATTATACCGATACTATGGCTTGGAAACCATTTCAGTATCTCAGAATTGAAAATTCACACACATCATCTTTCTCTCGTGTGCTAGAAGTTCTACTACATGAGAAATAGTATCATATCAATAAAAAAAGACATTGTAAGAGGCAAAGATGCTAGCAGTCTATGTTGCTTCAACTAGTTACTAACGATTAGTGACAAATAAATGCAAATCATTAAAGATACAGAAGCGTAAAATTTTACTCTTTCAATTACCCAGAGAGCACACTTTCATTTTGCAAGAGGAAAAAAACCTAAGTCTTATTTCTTATTCATTATCGTATTGGCTGGAGAAAACATTTAAGTGTCACCGTGACTTTAAATGACAGCTTTCAAAGATTGCAGTCATGGATTATCAAGTATAGCTAGAGCTATCTGCAATTTTACCAATAGCATACAAGTATGAAATTTCATGTTCATCTGGCAATGAAACTCAACTGATTTACTCCTAATACATATTACTTGCTATCAGATTCACAGTTAGCATTCTCAAATATAACAATTAAGGATTTTCTTAAATAACTTAAAAAAAATTAAATCTGAAATTATTTAAAGGGTACTGAACACATTAAGAAGTATGTATGTTTTAATGATACACCATGGCACGCTTGAAATGGCACAGAAGTAACAAATCTTGGTCATTTATCCTTTGTTGGAGCTTTGTACCAGCTAGTTCCTACGTACAGGTTCGAATTAACAAAAGATTTTTAGGCTTCTGTTTAGTTTCTCTTAACTGCACTTTGAAATTTTGGCATTCTACAGGCAAGTAAGTCTGATTTCTGTCTGGGGTTCAACAGAACTGAGGAGTTTCTACAACTACTGGAATATGGATTTGTGCCTCCTTCAATTATGTCAGTCTATATACAGTATACACTATCTTTACCTTTTAAGCATTTAAGTGTTTCAGTGCTGCATACATCCACTCTCATAGTGGAAAGCTGCTTCTCTTTCAGTTCTATCTGGTCTTCTGAGCGCTTATATAATAGCAATTCATCAATGAGAGACTGTGGCTGAAAAAATCAAACAAGAAAAGCATCCTCATCACATTCCATGGAAGAGAATCCCCTGCTTTGCAAAGCTAACATCACAGACCTACTTCAGTGACAAACAGTGTACTTTGTTTCAAGAACATTTCTGAATTGAAGCTAATGCAGAAATAAACTACATGAATCTCTGGTTTTTTAATCTAAAGTGAAACAGATCAGCTGATTCTTTAGACAGGGGCTATAATTCTAAAGGTCTTCTGGATTAGCTGTGATAGTTGAGAGTGGAGATAGGTCGGTCTTTCTTTCTTTTTCTTTCTTTCTTTTTTTTTTTTTTTTAATCACTGCTTTGACTAGTAAGCATGCATTTCAATAATGCAGGTTATTACTTCAGGGGACCTAATTTAGAAGAATGCTACTGTCACCAATTCTTCAGCCACCCTAAGCTGCATCTTCTCTAACATGATCTGACAATATACCTCAGTTAGCACCAACTGTAACAGCAAACCCTTTAAAAAGTATCGAAAAGTATTTCATTCTGTTCTTGAGAAGGCAAACTGCTCTCTTGTGATAGGTTATTCCAAATGAAAATTAGTGCTTCCAAAGGGAACCTCCACGCCTCTCAGAATGCTTTTCAATTGTCATGTTGTCCATAACAGTACACAGAAGGGGTTGCAGCTCTAACAAAACTTGCAACTTAAATGTCTAGCAGCCATTATACACCAATGAACAAAAAGACACTGAATACTAGAGCTTCCAGTCAAGCTTATGCTACTGGTGGACATAAGCCACACAAAAGCTACAGCCCAAGAACAGAGGTTAGTGCAACAGAATATTTCCACTTGCAAACTTACTCTGAATTCAGCAACAATCTTGGACTTCAGAGCAGCTTTTGGGTTCGTAGATGCTGTTGGGGAAAAAAAAAAAAAAAGGTTTTAAAAAATTGCGGAATTAAACATTAATCAAAAGTCACAAGAGGCAGCTCTGATTAAAAACATTTTAACGTAACTCAATGGAGAGACTCACGGGCTTCAAATGTATTCATTACATTTTTTCCTTCACATAGATATCACTCAATGTTCTGGCTTTCCATTAGCTACGCTGGACACATTCACATACAACTTGGTTGTCTGTGATTGAGATTAAATCATACTAGAGCTTTTTTTATGTGCCAAGAAAATTTACTTGCACATACCTTTTCCAGCTCTACTGTTGGGAAGACAAGTCCCTGCAAAGGTTGATCTAACAGCCTTATCAAATGACAGTTTATACCTCTCTAAAAGGAAGATAATATTACTTCCTGAACGCCAGACATAGCACTGACACACATAGCTCCGTATCTCCTTGTGATGTGGTCTCCCTTTGCTGTTTTTTAGGCCTAACCAAGCTCCTAACCTTAAAAATTCTCTTACACCTCTATTCTGACACCTTATTAACAGAGGGGGAAAAACTGAATCACGCTATCATGAGATACTAAATCCATTTGTTTCTAGACAAAACAGGAGAAACATCTGATAAGAAGTGAAATGCTAAATCCTTCATTCATGCTGAACATAATACGCTTTTGGTCAGGAAAGTAGCTTGCGATGTGAGCCAAGCAACAAAAGCTTCCAAACCCATGGCCTCTTTTGTTAACCTTCTGATCTCAGCACTTGTACGGACGGGTGTATGCCACATCTTATATCTAACGGTCCAACATCTTGCTTTATTGACCATTCAAGGCTTTAGTGTATAAAAATTATCACAAGAATAAAGACTGGTATATTACAAATGCAATTCCCGCTAGACTGCATTTCTGGTAATGTTGGGTTGAAAAGTTCATTATCTGCACTGCCAGTTTCCAGTTTTCTTTTATCCTATCATCTAGTTTGCTGTTGAAGGTGTATTCCTGAACATGAAGGTAATGTCCACCATGCTTTACTGATGCCAATGCACACGGTTCTGTCTGTCTTCTCTCCATCTTTGAATATTCTAATGTCAGTTTCCAAGAGGTTCCACCAGATCTTTTCTCTACTGTTCAAAACCTCTGCTCTCACAACAGTTTTTCCTTTTTTTTCTCTCCATACTTCATTCTTTTAAAAAGTGGTTCTCTAGCAACAACTCCTTGATGCTTTACATATTATTCTGTAAGGAGCTTTACAAGCCTGGAAGATGCATGCTGGCTCATATTTTAGTCCAGGTACTTTGCCAGTTTTGAGCTAGCCTTTCTTCTGTTCCTCAAGAAGGCAATTTTTATATTAGTTTCAGAGAGTTCACATTGTTTCCTTACTTTGAGATTTCTTCCACGGCTTATTCGGTTGTTTGTTCAGAGTTTCTTTCAGCTGCTTCTGAGATTTGAAAGTGGTACCTGGAAAACATTTCATTTTTTGCAGTCTGGCATTATGGGATTCCTTTAAGAATCTGGTTTTGGTGCCATATGGTTGCATGGTAAAAAGTTAACAGAAATTTGTTTTAAAATACCTAGACCAACTTCCTTAGATGAGCTGCTGAATGCCCAAGAGAACCTAAGTTTACTCAGGAATACAGCAACCTGTTGGATGGTCTTCCATTTTTAAATCAAGTTTCTGTTTGCCTTTACGCTAAGACAATTCAAAAAGATCACAGTAACAGAAACAACCTGCTCAATAAACTTCTGGATAAATGAGTAGCAATCTATGACCAAAGTAAAAAGGAAAAACATAGTGCATCTAAAAATAAAACTATGCCGTTTGGTTCTTTAAGTAGGCTTATTTAGTCACATTCTGTGTTTACAAAATTAGCATTCAACAGCCAAGTAATGGAAGTCATGAAAATCGCCACAACATCTAATTTACAAGTATCTGAAATATGATTTTAAATTGCAGAAGTTGGACATCTCAGAACATATGTATAAACATGCAACGCTCAACTAAAGCCTTTTCATATGCCAAAAACTGGCTCCAAGATACTGTAGTTCTCCTGTGATGACTACGAACGTCTCTCGAAACCACATGTAAGGATTTCCTGAAGCTCCTTTAGCTGTTAACGATGTAACCAGCAAAAGCAGAAACATGAACTGATTTCCTTCAAATTAAGTATCTGAGGATCAGTTAATTTCTGGTTTTAACTGACTGCGCGTGCTTCCAGTTAATATTATAGATTTCTGTTTTTAAGCAGAGCTCTTTTAATGAGTATTCGAGGACGTGCAGGTTACTTCATCCTCTAGCTTTCCTTCCAGACTACTCCTTATATGACAAATATTCTTAGTCAAAACATATAACTTATTATTAAAACACAACAGAAAGGAATAAAGCTCTTTTTTTCTTCACAGCCGATTCTTTACCCCACCATTATGATTGAGACTCGGCTGGAGTTTTAGGGCACTCAGACTCACAGGGAAGAGCCAAGGACACAAGTCCTCTACCCAAGCACAATAATCAGAACTTCTAGGGTCAAGATAACTTGAAATTAATTTTCGATTTCTTCACAGCTGGAACAATTTCAGCTCACATTAAAGGATTCAGAGAAGCCTTTAGAAAGGTACAAGGAACACGACACAGAAATTCAGTGACGCTTACTTACTACCAACAGCTTACTACCTTTACATTTCTGTGCAAATACGGAAAGAACAGATACACATTCTACTCTGCGATTTCAGCATATTTTCTTTAACCTGATTAAAGAGGTTCATAAGGTTATAAACGCACTCATTCCTTTGTACATTAAGATATGCAAAGGGTAAGTAACTTACTTAGAGCTTCTTTTAGTGCCATAATGGTTTCCTCTGGGTATACATTTCTGTCTTCCCAGATTTTAAAGATTCTTTCTATAGATTTAGAAACCGAAGGATCCCTGAAAAAGAAGAGCATATGTTTTTTCCCCTCCCCACACACAGTATAATTTCTCAGGATTCTAGAATGGATAATAATGCAAATAGCTCTGTGCTTAAAACGTTTATAAACCTTAAAAGACCTTTAAGACTGGGAAGTTATCTGTCCAGATGAAAACTTCAATTCTACTGCAAGAAGTCCTACCAAAATCAAGGCAACACTCCATACAGCTGAAGTTACACACATGCACACACACACGCTTCAGGGTCATAACAAAACAAGGCCACAGACAGGCCCTTCCTGGGTAAAATTAGTAGGTATTAGAGCGGTAGTAACAGTAACAGGATTTCTTTGAAGCCTTTCTTTATGGGAAAAATAACTGTTACTCTTCCGAAGCAGCTGTCTATATCAATGCTCTGGAACAAAAGTGATTATTCCAGCAGGAAAAAAAAAAAGTTCCTCTGTTCACAGAGAAGACTAATTACTTCAAATAAAAGTGACTGTATAATAGATTATCAATGGTGTTGAGCTTTCCTCAAGAAGACAAGCTCTGCCATTATTCTTGGAGCACATCTCTTTTCCGTGCCTATCAGAGTCAGCTTTGGAAATTATAATTATGCAATGCCATCCATAAGAATCTTTGAAGTAAGTGGTGTGGGGAGGGGGAAGGGAGGGAGATATCTTGATTTTCAAAATAAAAAGCATAGCCTGCCTAGGTATTTTTTTAAGGAAAAAATTAACAAATGAAACATCTATAAGCAACCACTCTCAACGCATACTTTCCCTAGACACCTGAGTCAACACAAAGGTGGCAGGCTGAATAAACAGCTCTTCAGACAGTAGAGGAAAAAAGTGAGTAACCAGAACCAGTCACCACTCTGCTAATCACTGAAAGGAAGAGCACTCTCTGCAAAGTAACCTTAAAGTTTGTACATACAGATGTTAGCATTAAAACAGTAAAACCTCCAAGGGCAGCATACAAGCCTGAGCCCCGCTAAGAATCAGAAGCAACTACCCTAGAGGACTCAAAACCCTCTAATTGGAAATACGAGCTATTACTGTTGCTCCCTACGGAAACTTTGTGGCAGTTAGCACCACTGCATGTCTCAAAGCTCAGAGTAAACGGGTTGTATCTTACCCTCAGATGTTAAGATGCTCTGTCATACAAACCACATTCATATGCAAACACTTGAGGATCAAAGCAGCAAGTTCATAAAAGATTTACCCATTTTACTTTCCATACCAAAATTTGGAAGAAGAGTAGACTCTGTAAGCATCAAAACTTGCACTGGGTATCACAGGAAATGATACCTTGCAATTCTTGTAGTAGTTTTTCTTTCTCCTTTTCCTTTGGTAGCTAATACTCCTGGAAGTTTTTCTCGCTCCTCATTACTGTTGGTATCTATTAATAGTATTTCAACTTTCTCTTCTGGCAAATTACATTTAACTATAAGATAATGAGCAGTCAAACTTTAACCTTTTCCCCACATCATGCTATGCTTAACCATCTGCCATTTTAAATTTAAACTCTGTTCCAAAGAGATACAAAACAGCAAAAGGACATTACTAGTATTACTTTGGATTTCTGTCATGTCTTACCCCTTAAAAGTTATCTGGCTAGGGGAAGACTCAGCAACTAAAACACAGACTAGCAAGGCATCCTATTTTGTTCAGCACAACAGGATGAGGCTTGCCCCACCTGGAAAAGTGCCAGCGCAAAATCCTTTAGTCTAACGCTATTAGAAATTGAATGTCTCAAATTTCCAGTAGAGGACAAAATCACCCCTGAGAATATATTACCTTGAATAGAAATAATGTTGTAGTAGATGCATATATCGGCACAGGACCCAGAGAGAAACATGAAGGGATTAGTCTGAATCTGTGACAGTTTTTCCGATGGTAAATAGTCAACTACAGGCCGAGCTGTGGAGACTGCAATGAAGACACCCTCCTCATCCTCTCCTGCGCTCCCCGTCTTTCCATGCATTTTCAAAGCCCCTCTGCTCTGCAAACATGCCTCCAGCTCTGCCAGCAGTTCCACCAGCATTGATGTGATCACCTTACCATCACACGCACGTATGCTTGGGGAGACTGGCCCCTCAGTTCACTCATCATTAAATTTTACTCAAATGAGACCTCTCATCCCCAAATTAAAAGCCAAATATACACCCTCTCCAGAATACTCCTTGCAGAAAACCTCAATTTGACACAGCTGTTAGAATCTCCAAACCAATGTTTAACATCACAGTCAGTAGACATTTTAATGTATCAAATGGCCACATGAAGCAAGACAGTGCATATATACATATGAATTAACACATTTAAAACTAAACTATATTTTTTAAAAGAATGAACTAACAAATGCAGTCGAAAAAATACCTTGAAATTTTCCTAATATTTCTAGAAAATTTGAGATATAAGAGCAATGGAGAATAAATTCACATTTTTTGAGGCATTAAACCTTCAATATAGTTACTTACTTCACTAACGAAGCTGCTTCAGGAAGCACTTCTGCAAATGTATCACGAAATACAATTGCATTTTTTCTCTTGCAGTTCTGTATGACATCATTGGCCAAGTAAAAAAGATTCAATCGATGAGGAAAGGCAGCTAGAGACAAAAAGAAAATTCAGATTCATCATAAAGTAAAGAAGTAATGTTAGCAGTATTTCTAGTATAATTTTAGGTGTCTGTCCGATTTTCTTCCCCAGCATTTCTGAGAATGGTGTATCCAATGACAAGTTCGAACCAAGGAAAACTGGGAACTATAAAGGAAGACTTCCCAATTCCACGTGCTCATTTGCCACAGGTTTGCCCAGGACAGCACTGCAGTCGCTTTGTCCGTCTGCATTCATATTCGCAGCAACAAATGTGATACTAATACAGTTATCTCTGCCTGTACTGTGAAACTTCAATTTATAAATCATTTCCAGATCTTCTCAACAAGCAACGTTGTTCCTAGCAACATCCAGCCTCTACTCCGACTTGGGCATAGAAAGAACATAGAGCAAGAAGTCATTGACCCTATGCTATTTCTATATCTGCTCCACAAAAAAAAGCTGTAAAACCAGAAAGATCAGTATCATCAGTCAATGATAAGAGGTCAAACACAATAGGGTACAACCTTCTGTAGAGAGAGAGGGAAAAAAATTGAACATTTGCTCCAGAGCACATTTCCAGTATACAGGCTTTGAAGCTCCTGAGTACACACATTGACCTTGCATTGGTTGGCCATCGACTCAGTGTAATTTCTCTATTTAATAATTTAGAAGCCACTTATTCGCATTTTCTAAGAATAACCACGTATAAATACCCATTTCTTAACTGTAATGGCTTAAAACGGTCTCTAAGCTTTGCAGCTTTATCATCAGGGAAGTTTTACCAGCCACATAATGACATCTGTAACTGTCCAGCCGACACATATTATAGAACAGGAATGACATTTTTCATTTTAGCTTAAACGCCTCCTAAAGAAACCAATTAACCCACGAAAAGCGCTCCCGTTAGAACCGCCACGCAAGCAGAGCCTCGATAACGTAACCTCTCCCGTCCCGAGAAGCGCGCAACTACTACGAGGGGCCACTCTGCCCTACCTTTGGTATCGCAATATCCACCGCGTCCACCCAAAATGTCGTTGAGTTCTTCACCAGACAAGCCTGCCACAAACAGCAGAAGCCGAACCTCAGACACCATGCTCAGTAACATTTGGGTGGGGAGAGTTTTGAGAAAGCCTAATGCTAGCCATACTGCAGTAATTTAATACACTTGCTTGTTGGCTGAATGTCCAAACAGAATTGAAATTCTTCAACAGCACCATCGCTCAACACGCAGCACTTTCTTCAAAAAGGCGGCTCAAACGGCCATTTCTGAATTAGTTTTACACAACGGAGATATAAGCTTTTGCGCAGCATGCAAAGGACCTCAGATCTATGTCCGTTCACCTTAGGTATTTATTTCTGTGAAATGCCTCCCCCGTTCTTGCTATTTGGGCATTACTCTTAGCACCTACATTTCTTACCTTTAGATACCCAGATAGTAAACACTTCTGTACAGCTCTCATTCCAAACATCCAAAAACCCAAATTCATTTTTGTCTTGCTTACATTCATTTCCAAATTTAATTATTTCATCAAACCTTTTCTTATATCACCCAGTAGCAGCATTTGTAGCAGAGTAAGCTGACCCTCATGCTAATTAACTTCTTCACTTAAATTAACAACACAACATGAGGGTTTGAATATAGGAAGGATGACAGTATACCATTGTTTCATGTTCCTATGAGCTCTACTAGACTCTCACTTTCTTCACATAGTATACCCCCTTCTAGCTGCGCTGTAGCTGCATTACTAATCAGATTTTTTGTCTACAAATTCCTATGGCTCTTTACAATCCGGAAGAATTTGTGATCGAGTCGGTCCGACGCTTTGCTGAAGTCACTGAATCACAAATATACTGTTTTGCCCCATCCCAGTGGATATTTCTAGTGTAAGCCTCAGGCTCACGATGGCGCTTGTCATGCTCTTTCCGCTTTCAAATCACAATGTTCTTTGCCGAGGTCCTTATCAATCTTTCCTTGTTTTTAAGTCGTGAACAACTCGGAGCATGTACTGAGGCACGTGGATTGCCGTACATTGCTCACAACGTCCAGTAGCGCTCATTTGGGGCCTGGAATAATTCGAATGCCTTCAGCAGCTCACCTGCCTCGGATGCACAGTTCACTACCTCCAGTGCACTTTCCAGTCGTCAGCCTCAAACCTGCTGGCAGCTCTGCTCCTGTCCTTCATCCCTCTCCAAAGCCTGGACACCTGGTGTCACCTGGACACCGCTCGATTCTGCATATAACTTCATCAGCTAATTACAGTGGCCTTTCTTGTGCAACTTCAACCAGAGACTCCTTAGGTCTGTAGTCATACCTCCCTGAAACAGGCACGCCATCTCTCAGGCACAACTCTCATGTCACCTTTACCACCGCACTCCTCAACCCCTGTATTTTCCTTCATTTTTCTTAATTTCTATTCGTATTTTTCAACTGCTCCAAATTTTGCCCAAGTCAATTTGTAATCAGCATAATCGCTTCCTCTCGAGTCTTCAAATCTTCAGGTTTCCACTGTGAAAGGGTTTTAGGAGACTGGTACACTTAGTACGGTCTCTGGCCTAAAGCATTTGGCATGAATTTAACCTTATTAAGACTATTTCTGCATTTGCAACTTATCACACACAAAAAAAAAACCCACAACATAAAACAAAACAAAAAACCCACAGCAACAATTCAATCTCTGCATATACCTGCTGGCAATTTCCAGGAGCTCTGCGCTTTCTTTCTGCCCAAAGCCAACCAGAAACAAAGCCACAATTTTCACAAAACTCATTCACATCGTAGATTATACTTAAGAAAAAATCTCATGCAAACGCTACACAATCATTTTGCGGACAACAAAAAAAAAACTCTCACAGTTTTTAATTGGAAACTAATCATTTAACATGCCTGTTTTTTTATATTTCCTTATGACAAACAGTAGGGGGTCATAGTTCTTTCACCACCATATTCCTTTCAAGGAACGTTTTCATTTCTGGCGTTCACATTAGCTGAAAAGAACGATCGTAGCCACAGAAACATGGGATTAGTGCATTCGTAGCGTACTGAACGCTATTACCTCAAAATGCAGACAAGCTGCCCTCATGAACGACGCGGTAGGCTCACTGTATGCAAAAGCACGCCTGTGCCGAACTGGGCGTGAAATGCCACTGCTTTCGGGGATCCCTCTCTGTGTGCAACTTCCACCAAAGATTACAATGCTCACTTTTTCCTGTAAAAGGGCCCTGATCAGAATGAGAAAATGGCACTAAGCAAGTCAGTCTAGCTCCATCAACCCTTATGTTCTTGCACAGGCACAACGAGACACCAAGACCTCTATCTAGCCTAAGAGTCCTGGCATTATGTTGGAAAACCGCACACAGCTTATGTTAAAATTAATGCCAAACATACTGATTATACAAACTATATATTGCACTGTACTGACATACCAACAGCAAACAAGCTTTTAGCAAGACATTTGCTAGGAAAAACAATCCTTCATACCTGCCTTCTAATGAAGGCAACATCCTCCTGCTGTTGTACCAGGAAAGCAAAGCTGAGGATAAACTTAAGGGCTTAGCTAGGCTGCTCACCTTTCAAATCCGCACCATGCAGAAGCCATGAAGAAACTAGCCTCTGTGCAAAGCTTCTGAAAGCCCTTCTAGGGAGCACTGACTCTTTTCGTTTATTCTCAGTGCCCGTCAAACATCCCTACGGACTGGTGGTACCATATTCTAATTTTAAGGACTGCGGTGTCCACTGCAGAGCCAGTAACGTGCAAGAGCAGAAACAGCACGCCCACAGGATAACAAGCCTAGTGACACTTAGGTTTCAGCTTTCCCAAAAGCAAGCTGGGAGCCACAAAATGCAGTCCCATCTCTCTCCTCTGCTATCCCTGCCCATAAAGGCCACAGAGTAACACAGCAAAAAGTACAAGGCCCAAATCAAGACTGTTTTATAGCTGCTGCATCCATAAGTAACAGAGAAGTCTTTTCATTCAAAACAGAGGCGTCTTCCTCAAGTATCTTCCAGCCATTACTGCTGCAGGTACCTTTCATTAGACTATGTATTTGCTTACTACCATTGCAGTTGAGTTGCAAGAAGTTTAAACTCAAATGTTTTAGAATAAATTTCATAGTAACAAACAGGACAATTCTAAAGTTTGTTAACAGAAGCAATTATTTATCACCTAATCTTAAAAGTGCAAAACCTGACCTCCTTTGTAAGCGTTTCAAAAACTCAGATGGGGTAACTAAGACCGAAACGGAGCTAGCCTGCTCTATCCACTCCACCACGCTGCCTTCGCCAGCACCCTTCAGGTTTGCCCCTTTTTCTGGAGATCTGGAAATCTAGCCGCAGAACTGCGCCTGCACTCAGCTGATTTCTAAACAGAAACCATAATAAAGCAATGGGAGTGATTCAGAGCAAGCTCTACAAAAAAAATTCAGCTTTAACAATCTACCAGATAGTCATCCCATCAAAAAATGGTTTTCTATGATGTAATTAAAACCCCGTACTCCGTTGCTAATTCATCCTTTGGTCACTGGGTACACTTTTTATTTCAGTTACATTATTCACTATCAGATCTAATTTCAGATCTTATTACCTACAGAAAAATACGTCTTGAAGATATTGTACGTTGAATTGTTTAAATCAAAAGTTTATACACACAGCCTTGAAATGAAGCAGAAAGAATCTCAGAACTGACTTTAAGATATCTGCAAGCGTGCCAGACATGTTAAACGGACTGAGCAACGCTAACACCCAGCATCTTAACTCCTGAACAGTTGCTAGAATGCTGAACTCTGACCTGAGTCGAGGTGGAATTAATGCCCCCCCAACCTACAATTTTTATGCCAAACTACACAGTAGGAAAAATCCATGCTAAAATAAATATATAGCAACATGCTGTACAACAGTTATAACTATTAGTTACAATAATGCTGCATTAAAAAAAAAGAGAGAGGAAAAAAAAAAAAAAGAAATGCCTTTGGTGTCCAAGACACCAAGACACACAGTATACAATTGAGTTTCAACTGTATTATG